TTTGCTCACGCGTTAACGGTCGAACGCGCGCAACCGAAAAATCTAACTGAATTTGATCAAAGCAACAACTTTAAACCTAAAAAACAAGTTCTTTACAGTTCAAAACTTCAATAACTAAGCTAATAGTTTGCCCTGTTCCAATTTATTTTGAAGACTGCAAAAAGATTCCTGGACAGCATGAGTCGAAGACACAAGAATCCAAGACCTTACACAAGCTACGCCTTCGACACTGTTTGGGCAGCGGCATTACTATTTCAAAAAAGCTTATCTTCACGTTTTCGTGCAGAGAAAGTGAATTTTCAGAATTCTAATGTGAGAAAACGTTATGCTGCGTTTCTTTCGAAGACGGAATTTGAAGGAATGTCGGTAAGTTTTAAATCAGCGAACAGCGTAATTTTGTAATTCTGAATTAAGAGCATGGTCAGTTAAAGAAGGAATATGGCAATGTAAATTCAGTTTCTTTTCATTTGTAAAAGAACGTTCAAAATATGGAGAAAAATTTTACAGCTTATACAAATGTTGCTAGCGCTAGTAAATTCTCAACTGTGTGCCATCTTGCATTGTTATGGATATACCCATGCATTACGTGCATGAGAAGAAGGATCATGGTAATATTTTACCCTGATATACAATGGTCCGGTTATGAGCCCAAAATTGTACTTCGATCACTATTTCAAGTGACCATTTGTCTGACAAGGTTATCCCCGAGCTAACTAATGTGGTGTACTAATGCGGTGAGGGTACTAATTCTGCTCCGCCATTTTCACCTGAGGAAAGGAAAGCATGTGCGAAGACTAAAATTCATCAGTAATCGCTGGCGCGTGACTATTATTCATGGCGACATGGTGTCATTGGTGGACCTCCTGCTAATCTCAAAAATACGGCGAATTTTAGGAGTGAACAGAGTAGAATTTACTGGAGAAAATCGTTGATGAGAAGAGCGGCCAAACTGGGTTTTTTAACACAATCGATCAGGGGCAATAGATAGCTGGAAATCGTAATATCTCGTTAGTTCGTTGTAAATGTTGATGTATTGTTTGCTATAAATGAAAACTAATTACTTTTCAGTGTATTATAATTGCCCTTTGTATTATTGTAGATTATTAGGAATATTTAGGGAAGCATATTTATTTTCATGCAAGAATTTGAAATGATCTTATTTCAAACTTAAAGTTTATCGATAAAAATGCAGTTTAGTTTTATGAACATTTTAAAAGTTACGTTTACGAAGCGCTTGTGTTTGATTTTTTAAGTTACACATAATAACATACTTAAGAAATATATTTGGGAAATTGATAATTTTGTAATTAAATTAAAAGAGATATTTCTGGGGTTTTTCTTTCAATTTTAAATAATATAAATAATAATATAATTATGTTATCATGACAACCGTTTCAAATATACTTCATGTGTGGGAAATATACTTGTTTTGCTATAGTAAATGAGGGAACTCTGTATGCATTCACAGCAAGCCGAATATAATCAGAGCAAGAACTTGGTTGACAGGGTGCGTTATGATAGGCATATGTAGGAAAGTAATATCACAATTGTTGTTAAGATAAATAGTCTAGGCTGAGTAAGTAATATAAGTAAGCGTAATAATTGATGTAATCGGTCACTGAAAAGCCCCAATGGGATGGGAGCTGAAAAACACCGAATAACGAATGCCCAATCTTCACTATTTCCATAGAATATGTAAATACCACAACTCGGTCATGTATTCTATTTGTTTTAATAAACGCCCACTATCTTATAAACGCTCCACTCCAATAAACGCCCCTCGACTTACATACTTTGTAATAAACGTCTGCCTCTAATTACCGACCTTCCATCGTAATTAACGCCCCCGTTTAACTCATATGTTAGCTATATTTATATATAACAACTTAATACATTTTGCTGCACTTTCTGAATTTGTGTGGATTCTGTCCAGATTTTGTATTTTTGAAGTCATAAAATAATTCTTTGAAATAAACGCCTCTCTTTCTAATACACGTCTCGTCCCATTCGAAACTCGTATTTTATATATTTCATATTCCTATGATACCTGGTGAGATAACTTGCACACCATCTTAAGTGTGCTAAGATTTGATGGTGTATCAGCGTAGCACACAATGCGTATAAAATAACACAGTGCGGCGTGTTATTAAGCATTTTTATTCGTCAGAGTGCAAATTTGTTCTGTTTATCAAGTCAATTTCACATAAATAATATACCTGAACTAAGACCTGCTGCAAATATTGTAAAACATAGTCTTGCTTTCAAAAGTTTGACAGTAAATTAATAAATTATTGAAACTTACGACTGTAATAAAATATAATCAAGGGCGTATATAGTGACCGGGGGCACAGGGGCACGTGTTCCCCCAAATTTTTTCAAAGGATCAAAAGTGCTTTGGGCAAAACTGAAGTTTGTGATGAAAAGTGCCCTTTTTGTACATGCTAACTGCGCTGTAAATACAAAATTAACATGAAAGGTGCCCTTTTTGTTTGGAAATTTCGATGTTTAAAAAAAAAAATGGTCAAACACGTGCAATTTCGGTATAGTATGACGGGACAATTTTTCTTCCCCTCCCCTTTAGGTGCCCTTTTCAATATCCAAATGTGCCCCTGAATGTCGGTGCCTCCACAATCTTTTGATGTTTCCTACGCCCCTGAATATAATATTTTGATTGGCCATGGGACTGTGACGCTATCAAGGCATATTAACCATAGAACAGTAGTTTTTTTTAAAGGAACATTCAATTCTTCTCTGTTATAATTCATATATTAAAATGAAAATCTTTTCAGCTCTGGTATATGCATAATTGCATATAATCTTTCAGTAAAACAGCATGCTCGCTCCCTGAATTGGTTCCTTCTGAAAAGCTAGCAGCCTTAATTGGTTCAGGGATAATCAGTCGAGTCGTAGATAATGTCAAATATTACTAAAGCAGTTTTATTTAAGGTTGAGCAGAAACATGCTATTGCAGATGATTTTTCACGTATCTTTTCGGATACCAACAGAAATAGAATCTGAAGGTTGCTAGTGCAAACTTGAAGAATCGACACTGTTACAACTGATATTGGACATCATTGGAATGCATGCGCAATGCTGTAGACTGAAGACAAATTGCTGCTGTCTTAAGCCAAACCATGTATATATTGGATAAATTACGCATCAATAGAATGAACCTCTTGTGTGCAAAGTTTTTAAGATAGGAGAATGAGTATTTTATCGTATTTTTGGGTCTTTGGATGGACTTTAGAATTGGTTGTCCCACATCGCTCGATAGCTCGTTTTGTGAAAACATATAAACGCGTGGAAATATACCCTACTATTGGAAATCGTTTTCAAAATCCTTATTATGGAAATAGTCGGGATGCTTGTTGGAAAGAGTATGGAAATACAATTTTCATAAATACAATAAATATATTTTTAATTTTTTTATTTTATTTTATTTTTTTTAATATATATATATATATATATATATATATATATATATATATATATATATATATATATATATATATATATATATATATATATATATGTTAATCATCACGATATGGCATTTATAATTTTTATATATGTTAATCACCGTAGGTAAAAAATACTTACCTACGGTGATTAACATATATATATATATATATATATATATATATATATATATATATATATATATATATATATATATATATATATATAAGATTTGGTTTCGTTGGTTATAAAAACTTTTGGTAAAGTGCTCAATGGAAAACCAGAGCATATTTAAATTAAGGTACAACAATCAACAAAATCCACTAGGCATCTTTATTACTAAATAGTTTCGTACCACAAAATGTGGCACTCTTCAGATAAATTGACCAATTTATCAATTGGTCAATTTATCTGAAGAGTGCCACATTTTGTGGTACGAAACTATTTAGTAATAAAGATGCCTAGTGGATTTTGTTGATTGTTGTACCTTAATTTATATATATATATATATATATATATATATATATATATATATATATATATATATATATATATATATATATATATATATATATATTAAGATGAAAATGTTCTAGAGTGTGCATTATATAATTTCCATACCCAGCGCAAGCAGAAAGATGTTGTCTGCCGCGGCTGGGTCTTGAACCCGCGACCTTC